TGTCCCGCGTCAACAAGGAGCACGAGCACAAGCTGAAGGTGAGCTCCGCGGGGACACGGGCTGTGGGGACCATGGGGCTGCTCCTTGCAGAGCAAGGCGAAGCGCCTTAGGGGCAGGGAGTGCTCCGGAAGGCCCTTCTTCCCACCTGCATTTCCACAAGCTGAATTCCGTGTTGCTGCGGAGGCCCAGGCTGCTCCCGGTGCGGAGTGCGCTGAGCAGAGCTGCCCCCAGGTAGCTGCACTTGTGCCCACTCTGTGGAATTACTCCATTACAGGGCCAGTTACGAGGGATCAGGTCAACAGAGCTGTGCAGAGAGCATCCACAGGCTGTAAAGTGACCTTTTTCCATGTCCTGTGTGGCTTTTGAGCCACCAGCCTCATCCTGCAAGATCACAGAATCCCAGAACGGCGGAGGTTGGCAGGGACCTCTAGGGCTCATCCAGTCCAACCCCTGCTCCAGCAGGGACACCCAGAGCAGGGGCACAGGGCGGCATCCAGGTGGGTTGGAAGATCTCCAGAGAAGGAGCCTCCACAGCCTCTCTGGGCAGCCTGTGCCAGGGCTCTGGCACCCTCACAGCAAAGAAGCTCTTCCTCATATGGAGATGGAACTGCCTGGGGTTCAGCTTGTACCCATTACCCCTTGTCCTGTCACTGGTCACCAAGAAGAGTTTGGCCCCATTCTCCTGCATTCCCCCTTCAGGTACTTGTACATGTTGATCAGATCCCTCTCAGCCTTCTCTTCTCCAGGTAAAGAGGCCCAGCTTGCTCAGTCTTTCCTCACACGATAGATGCTCCAGTCCCTTCATCATCTTTGTGGCCGTATGTTGGCCCCTCTCTAGCAGCTCCACGTCCCTCCTGTCCTGGGGAGCTCAGAACTGCCCCCAATACTCCACATGCCCGCCCAGAGCTGAGCAGAGGGGCAGGATCCCCTCCCTCGCCCGCTGCCAACGCTCCTCTAGAGCCTCTGGAGACCCAAGTTCCTTGGCTGGTGGGTGCAGCCGGCGGCCCCGCGGGGTCGCC